TTGTGGAAGAAAGAAAGGGTTATGAGTTTGGTATCAGTAATTGTTCTATATCTTGTGAAATGTAAATGGATTTTTTCACAATCTATCTTGCCCATGCTTATATGCCCCCTATTTGTGAACGGTGTAAATTACTCGTTTTTCTTTTTTCACCTAGAAAAACCATCTTATGATGAAATCTCAACAAGTCCTCTAATCTATTTTTCAAAGAATTGAATGAAACTAGTGAATAATTTGAAACATCTTTTAAGTTGAAATGATATATAGGAAAAGGATAGATATGAACAATGCAATTCTTTATTATCAAGCATTAAATTTGTTTTACTAGTGATACATTTCATTGTTATATTGGTTCATTCTTCCTTACAGGAACAATCAAAAGCTAACATATTTGTCTTACTAATGATACATTTCATTATTATATTGGTCATTCTTTCTTATAGGAGCAATCAAAGGGTAACATCGCGAACAGAGAAAGGATGTATACAAAACACAGGTGTGGTTCTAGGTCAATCCCTGTTAGAGTAGAAAAACTGGTACGTATCCTTTCACTTTAAGAATTAAATAGACCAATATAAGTTATATGAACTTACGGCACATTAATGGGATGCATCATTTGTGAATTAGCCTTAAAATTAATTTTTTGTTCTCATAATCTCGAAAAAAAAGTCTGTTAGAGGGGTAAATTGTATAATTGATCTAATTGTAAATTGATGATTTACTAATGTTTTTAATCTTTTGTATAATTAATTAATTACTAAAGCTTTTAATTTATTTTTTTGCAGATTGGATTGGGGTGGCATTTTTGACGTGGAGCAATGATGTAATTTGCTTGAATGTTCATTTTTGTTTGATAAGGATACACATACTTTGTGGAGTTGCACTAGTAATTGTTGGATTTTTGGTAAAATTGAACAAGTTATAACTTTTGGATATTTTGTGGATATTTCACTATTTTATTGTATTAGGACGAAATTATTTGTGATGATGAATGGATATTTTCATTTTGTTAATTCGTAAATGTGTTGATAACAGGTTAGGTTAAGTTGTGACGGAATTGTTATATTCAACAGGTTTCAACATGAATAGGGTTATATTTGTTGAACAAAAATTTAGATTTTGATAAAATAGGTATATAATATGGGAAAAAATATTATGAAATTATTGACAAAATTTTCCATCCCTAAAGAAGGTTCTTTTGTCTCTTATTTCGCTTAGGTGGATGATTAATTTTGTCATGAACTTTTTATTTCATCACTAAATGCATTTGTCGTGACAAAAAATATTGTCACATTTTGTCACTGTTATCCTCAATGTGTGACGAATTTTTTTTGACATTATTTTATCATTTTTAATGATGAATTTGTTTTTGTCTCTATTGGTAGCTTCTTTGACAAATTTTTTTTGTCTTCGTTTATATTAAACGTCACAAAATTATTTCGTCTCTATTTCTTATATTTATGACAAAATTTTTTTGTCTTCGTTTATATTAAACGTGACAATTATTTCGTCTCTATTTCTTATATTTATGACAAAATATTTTTGTCTCTAATTTCTTCTTTTAATGACAAAATATTTTGTCGCTAATTACTTACAAGTATGTTCCCAATAGAGCGTATTGGAGACAAAAAAATTCGTCACAAATTTATCATTTTCAATGAAGAAATTGTTTTTTCGTCTCTACGACCCTTTAGCGACGAGGCTTTGGCGACAAAACGGGTGACAAAAAATTTTCGTCATAATTAGTTTGGGTGATTTAATGACAAAATATTTTGTCGCTAATTACTTACAAGTATGTTCCCGACAGAGTGTATTTGAGACAAAAAAATTCGTCACAAATTTATCATTTTCAATGACGAAATTGTTTTTTCGTCTCTATGACCCTTTAGCGAGGAGGCTTTGGCGACAAAACGGGTGACAAAAAATTTTCGTCGTAATTAGTTTGGGTGACGAAATATATATATTTTGGGACAAATTTGTTTCGTCTTTAAATCCCAAATTTGTTGTAGTGTATGCCAAACACAGTATGAGCAATGACTAAGACATTAGCAATTGATAAATGTTCAATTTCCATATATCAATTCATAACCCATTTCCATTTCATGACCACCATGTTCATATTTCATTTCAATTTCACAATTTACATCAACGGCTCAGAACCTGGCCAACCATTTCTATGAGACAGTGACTCATATTAGACATTTCCCATTTTTCAATAGATAAACATATTAGTTGCATCAACATCTCAACGAATAAGCATACAAGTTGTATCCACATTTCAACAGATATGCATATTAGTTATATCAACACTTCCAACGATAAGCATATGAGTTGTATCAACACTTCCAAAGATAAGCATATGAGCTATATCAATACATTATCTGACAAGCATATGAGTTGTATCAGTGGAGTCCATCCCATATCTCCTCCCAAACAACATCCGGTTTAGAGGTCCATCCCCTGTCTTCCCCTAAACCGTGGAGTGCATCCCCTATCTCCTCTCGTACACACAACGTATATACACAAAGGTCATATACACAATCAATCAATACATAACGTTAATGTATTCTATTAACCGTTATATTCTATGACATATCCAATTGATCAGTTTTAGTTTGCCTAATCATCATGCATTGTCTACAACAATCAAAACTACCCTCCAACGGTAGCCCAAGCAATTATTTCTAAACAGATAATAAAAGCTCCAATAGATAAAATATCAATGTTTTCAAAAGTGAGCGATTAGTAAATCTAACTCCACTATTCAACCATATAATGAGTCAATTTCATTATTCCCAACTCAATTCCATATAACCACCATTTTCTCAAATTAATCATACCAATTAATTTATACAACCAATTAGGGTTTTCTACCCCATTTCCCAATACTGACCCAATGGTCTATATTTCTACAACCAACATCAATAACACCATTTTGAAACCCAAAATACATATTATGAGCCCAAAATCACAAAACCCTCTTTAACACGTTTTGAAACCCTAAGTCCCAAAATCAACCATTTAAACAATAAGCTCAAAATCTAGGTTAAAACTCATAAGAGTGAGTAGGAATTCTTACCTCAAATTCGGAGCTCAAGAAAGGAAGGTGAAGAAACTCAACGTGCTCCAAAACTCAATATTTTCGGATCAATAGATAGCCCTTGACAATCAACCCAACTCTTACAAAGGCCGAAGGGAAGAGAAACACTCTAACTAGATCAAACCCTAGAGAGAAGGGAGTTTCTAGAGAGAGGAACTCTCAAAATGGCTTTTTAGAAAGTAGGAGAGAGAGAGAGAATGTAAAATGTGATTTTAAAATGCCCAGCTGCCAACTGATATACGACATTCCCGCTCGAGCGGAGAACACAACGCTCGAGCGTCAAGAACAAAAAACTAGGTCCGCTCGAGCGCAAGAATACCCGCTCGAGCGCCAAGACACAAGAATAAAGCACATCCGCTCGAGCGCGAAAACCAGTCCGCTCGAGCGTAGATTTCTCCCTCCCAGAACTTATACCCAAAGGTACTACCCACCCGAGCGCCAAAATACCCGCTCGAGCGCCACCGCTCGAGCGCAAAGAAACCCGCTCGAGCGTGAAAAACATGTCTGCCGAAGTTCAGCAGAGCACCAAAATACTGGGTGCGTGCAATGTCCGCTCGAGCGTAAGAAGACCCGCTCGAGCGGACCTCCTAAAAACTAGGCAACAAGGAATTGAAACCAAAACCTAACCAACCTATAACAACTCTGCCCAATATATCCTAAAACTCAATCAAGTGGAATTAAAGGATGACAACAAAGTATACCACCACCAACATCACGGAACCGAGTCCGGAATACAACAGAACAGTAAAGGGACAACCGGGATCGCTATAACCTCCCCCCCTTAAAGAATTTCGTCCCCGAAATTAAACACAAGTTTTTCAAAAACAGGTTTTCTCCATTTTCAACAATGTTACAACATAATATTAAACAACCCGACCCAATACCGGTCAATCCCATCTCTTTTCAAGAGGCATAACACATTAATCATAACAACCTGCATTATCAACATGCATTCTTTTGAAATTTACCAATTTCAACTCATTTTCCACAATTCCATAATACATGCAACATTAACATCATGC